AATGTGGGCAGTGCTCCTGGACCAATGGGCTGGCACCCAGAGCAGCCAGGCCCAGTCCCCGCCCCCCCCCACCCCCGTACTCAAGAAGTGGGGAAACCGGGGCTGAGGAAGGAGGAGGGTTCTGTGTGGGGCCACAGAGGGGAGACTGCAGCAGGGCTGGTGTTCCCCTTGTGCCAGGCAGAGCCTGAATGGGTGAGAAGGCAGCTTTGTGGGCCCTGACTCATCGGCTGACATCACTAAGCCAATGTTTGGGGAAGAAAATCTGAGGTTTTCTCAGTCACAGGGCCAGCTGCCCAGGCTGTTCCCATCAGACAGGGCTTGAGGGCAATGGGCTCCAAGGGCCAGCAATGCTCCAGGCGCATCCTCCCCAGCTCCCCATGACCAGCCCCAGCTCCAAAAGGCATTTGGTGAAATTGCCCAGGTCACCTAGCCTGTGCCTTCCAGCTACGGCAGGAGGTCAGGCCTCATGGAAATAGCAAAGGCAGAGCTTTCATTCACTCACTCACTCACTCATTTGTCCTTTAAACAGTAGAATGTCTGGCATGTGCCAGCACCCTACCCTGGGGATTCAACAGCTGGAGCCCTGCCCTCTGGGAGGGACTAGAAGACCCTGTTCCGACTTCTATTACTGAAGTGTGATCTTTTCTGAAGTTAGTGTAGCCAATCCTATTGCTTTTGATTCGTGGTAGGGTGGTATGTCTTCCTCCATCCCTCCGTTATTACCTCCCTGAATCTTTATATTTAAAGTGGGTTTCTTGTAGACAACCTACAGTTTGTTCCTTTTTAAAAAAAATTGATTTCAGAGAGGAAGGGAGAGGGAGAGAGAGACAGAAACATCAATGATGAGAGAGAATGATCGATCGGCTGCCTCCTGTACACACCCTACTGGAGATTGAGCCCCAAACCCAGGCATGTGCCCCAAACGAATATTGAACCAGTGACCTCAACCAACTGAGCCACACCAGCCCGGCTTTGAGGAACTTTGAACATTTGTTTGTAGGGCAGCTCTGCGGCTGCTGCATGCCCTGTTTCAGTTTTTCTGAGAAATTCTTTATTTCTCCTTCACTATGTTGATGGCCTTTTCCCCACTTTCGCCACTTTAAATACTTGGCTGCACTCTCTGCCTGCCTGGCTTCTCAGGAGACGTTCGCTGCCATTTCTGTCCTGTGTCTCTGTGGGTCAGGTGTTCTTCCCCTCTGGCTTCTTTCAAGATCTTCGCTCTGTCTTTGGTTTTTGCACTTTGAGTATGATCTGCTCAGCTGTGGATTTTTGGGGTATTTATCCTGCTTTAGATGTTCTTAGATTCCTTATCTGTTGCTTTTGGTGTTCGTTATTAATTTTAGAAAATTCTTGGCCATTATTACTTCAAATGTTTCTTCTGCTGCATCTCTCTCTCTCTCTTTCTGGTTTTCCCACCATACATATATTATACCTTTTGAAATTGTCCTACAGTTCCTGGATGTTCTGATCTGTTTGATTTTTCAGAACATTTTTTTCCCTCTCTGTATATTAGTTTGGGATATTTCTACTGACATCTCCCCCAGCTCACTGATTTTTCCCCTGGCAGTCCACTGATGGCCTCATCAAAGTCATTTTTCCTTCCCCTTTTTTAAAAAAAATATTTTTTTTATTGATTTTTAGAGAGCGAGGAAGGGAGAGGAAGAGAGAGAAACATCGATGGGAGAGCAAAATATCAATGGGCTGCCTCCTGCATGTTCCCCAACTAGGGATCGAGCCAGCAACCCGGGCGTGTGCCCTGACCAGGAGCGAACCAACAACTGTTCAGTGCATGGGACGAAGCCTCACCAACTGAGCCACACTGGCCAGAGCAAGGCATTCTTCCTTTCTGTGGGTGTTCTTGATTTCTACCATTTCTCTTAAATGTTTTTCTTAAAGTTTCCATCTCTCTGCTGACACTGCCCATCTTGGTAACTTTTTCCATTAGAGCCCTTAACATACTAATCATAGTTATTTTAAACTCCCTGACAATTCCAAATTCCGTGTCTGCCCTCGGTCTGGTTCTGATGCCTTTCCTCTCCGGTCGGCGTCTCTTCTTATTATGTGACATGCCGGGCCGGGCAACCTTTTCTGAAAGCCAGACATGATGTGCTGGGAAACAGGAACTGAGACAGACGGGCAGTTTGTGCGAGGATTTCTGTTAACCTGGCGAGGGCTTGCAGTTTCATCTCTGCGGTGGCTGCGGGAGCCAGTGGCTGCAGATTCCTCTGGCGTCCGTTTCTCTCATCTTTTTTTTTTTTTTTTTTTTTTTTTGCGGTTCCCTAAGAACTCCTCTTTAGATAGAGTGTGTCTGGGAGCTCTTGTCATGTGGCCCTGTTATGCTGGAGGCCTATTGAGGTGGCAGTAAGGGGTTGGGAGGAGAAACGTTCTATCATCCTATGTCCCTGGGCTGTGATAGTCACTAGTGCCTCTCAGCTCTCTCCCCCAACCCCCTTAGGTAACACGGGAAGGCTAGGAGGGCTGGCGTTGGGGGAATGCCTTCCTCCAGAGGGGACAGGTTCTGGTAAAATCATGTTCCCTGGAGAGTGGGCCTTTGCTGAGGAGAACGATATGAGTGTATTTCACAACGACAACTTTCCACTCGCCCTGCAAGAGCTCCTAGGGAGTTTGGGAGGTTCCTGGAGTTAAATCACAAAACTGTGCTCCCTCCCTTTAGCCTGTGACCACCCCGCCGCCTCCCTGGGGTTTCTCAGTTTCATACTAGTGCGCACTTGGCCCCGGCCGCTCACCCGCATTTCGGTGTAAGCCATTCTGCCCGTATACGGCTCCAGCACCTTCTCCTGGTGAACAGATCGTGGCTGAGACTGGATTTGCTTGTCTTCAGGTTTTCGGGGGGTGTCGGACCTCAGAAGCCAGTTCTCAAACGGGTCTAAGAAAAGGCACTGGTTTTCAGTTTGTTAGCTTTCTTCCTCCTGGCAGGACGGAGTGACGACTTCCAATCTCCTTACCTATCAGAGCAGAAACGGAGCTGCTTGGGCCCTTGTGCACCAGTGTTGCCACGTGAGCCAGGCAGGCTCCTGACTCCCCACCTGTGTTCCCTCGGCTGTGTGATGGCACCATGACCCAGAGGTGTGATGTGAAGGAGGGGAAACTGAGGCCCAGGGCAGGAGCCCGGCAGGAGCCCGGCCAGGGCTGCAGGATGGAAGCTGGAAGCCCACCCAGGAGGTTTGCAGCCGCGGAAGGGAGCAGCCCCAGCCGGCCTGGGCTGTAGGGGAATCTGCTGGCTCAAGAGGGGAGAAAGGAGGAAGCCTGGGGTGGGGACCACGGGTGGACCCTGGAGGCCACCCCCTCCCCGCTCCCCATCCCCAGCCTAGGTTTCACTTCTACTTGTGAATCCGGGGGCAACAACGCCTGTACTTTGCACCACGGCTTCCCCATTTTCAAGTGATTCTGTACGAATTCCCAGCCACTGGCTCCCTACCCTGGCCCCATCAGAGGTGGTGTTATAGAATTTTAAAAAATATA